TTCAATGGTGTTTAAAAGTAACTATTAGGGTGTAGTAGGCTACCAAAATCAAAACCGTGTTTGCCTAATTAGTTTGTCGCATGTCGGAAGCTAATAGGGGGTAATAGTATTTAATAGTACAATTCCTATTTCACAGACGGATGAACATGACTCTATATATCAAATTAATTGCGAAGAATTAATCAAACAGAGTTTTTAATTAAAGAACAGAAAACAATAGAATGAGCAAGATTTAGCCTTTTTTCCTGCTAATTATGTTCTATAGGCTTTGTATTTGTTAGCTTTTAATCWCCASTTCTGTTTTAAACAAGAAAACTGACGTATTTTCCAGATCTCTCAAAGACCAAGTGTCGCCTGGCAAGAKYCCAAGCTTTAAGAAGACTTTTCAWAAGAGGAAAGGTCGTTTTCATCCCACAATGCAACAGCGTCGGTGGATATGATGAAATCCAATGCTACAGAGGAGTTTGTTGGTGCGTCAACAACCGCGGTACAAAAATACCAGGAACGCGTACCAGAGGCAAACCAGACTGTAAAATKCCAGGTAAAAAACGTTATTTTTGAAATACAGTGATCCATGAAGGCGCCACCCCGATAACGCGGCCACCCTCAATTAGGCGTCCACAATAGAGAATAAGATAGACTTAAGTAATACCGAATTTACTTACCGAATTCTTGTCCTAATAGCTTGYCTGCGAGAGCGAATGAATGCCAATTACCAGAGCATTCCAGGACGATTTGYCCCAACTTGTAGACAAGATGGAAGCTATGAACCCATGCAGTGCCACTCCGCTAATGGATATTGTTGGTGCGCGGACAAATTTGGTCGTGAGATCCCGGAAACTAGAGTTCGTGGAAAAGCAATATGTGGAGTAAAAGGTAAGACAAGTGCGCTAWAATAKCYTYTTGATAATATTTGGCACAAKTTTTATACGTGTGAAACGAACGGAGAGGAGAGCAGTCGAGGAAGGGTGAAAGAAGCCATGAAAGAAGAWGAAATTGTAAATGAAACACTTCCGTTCTGATTTTTTTTCCATTTCCTTCTCTCCTACTTCGTTAGTGATAATGAGCTYTCACAGAAAATGTTAAGAATTCCTTAATCCATTCCTTTTATAGACGGTTCGTTGACTTCCTGTCAAAGACAAARAAAACAAGCTCTCAGAAGATTCGGTCGAGGAGTATTTATCCCAAGGTGTAGTCCAGATGGCAGYTTTGCACCAGTCCAATGCCGCAAGTCGTCTTGTTATTGCGTTACTAAGGATGGCCAGGAAATTCCTGGTACAAAGACCAAGGCACCACTCAAGCCTTACTGCAATGGACGTGATCCACAGAAAGCTATACTRGGTAACTTTAGTTGAACTGTTTGGTTGTAATATTTTGTAGAAGCAAAGAAAAGTTTTTATAAAATTTTTGATATATAACGGACGCTCTGATTGGCTGACGACCGTGTTTATATCAGACGGCTTACCGGCAAAATTTTCTTTTCGCTCGAAAAATTTTATAAAAGAAATATAAAACGGCCGCTTGTATCTCTGTCCTCTGATATAAACACGGTGGGAGTTAAAAAACACTCGAGAAGCAAGAGAAACACTCGCTACGCTCGTGTTCCTAAGCTTGCTCATCTCTCGTGTTTTTCGAACTCCCACCGTGTTTATATCAGAGGACAGAGACACGCGCGCCGTTTTATATTTCTTAAATATAAACTGCCTTAAATGCTAAATAAACTCTGAGGTTATCGAGTCAGCCTTTTTAAAAGCCGTTAACATTGTTTATTCTCACTAATAGATCAGAAAATTAAACTTTGTTTTCAATTTGMTCTTTTTCCAGCTCAAGGTGACAACAACTGCCTTAAGAGATACCAATTTGCATTAGAAAACTTTGCAATAAGTAGATTTATACCCCAGTGCCGTGTGGATGGTAGTTATGCTCCAGTACAGTGCAACGAGGGCTGGTACTCATGCTGGTGYGTTGATACTCGCAATGGGAACGAACTAGAAGGAACAAGAACAACAGGRTGGCCYTCGTGTGGTWAGTGTACATGTTTATTTTGTACAATGTTTGACTAGGTRTKCYTTTAATCAMACATCMCTGGCTGACATTATGCTATTTTATCTGTCTGGTGATGCAAAATTTCTCGTTTTGGGGCCATTGCAGCAAAGCGCGACCGTTTTGGGGCTATTACACCAAAGAGCGACCAAAACAATAATTTTAAGCACTAAAAGGGTAAACAGGGCCAAGCCCATTTTATAAGGGGAGTCGGACCGCTGGGAACAATTCTAACAACTTATCTAATGCTTTTCAACTAAGCCGAAAAAGATGTTCCTGAAAAGGTAACGAAATGTCAAGTGGAATACAAAGATGCTCTTAAAGGATACATATTTGGACGATACGTGCCTCGGTGTCAGCCGGACGGCAAGTACGAACCGATGCAGTGYCACAGTTCACTTTGTTTCTGTGTGAACGAATACGGCGTGGAGATCGTCGGTACAAGAGAACCGGGCCTGGAACCACTTAAATGCAAGGCAATTGGTACGTTTTTAACCCTTGTTAAAAACCCATTTTAGGGTCGTCGAAACTGAAAACTCTTTTCTCAATAGTTTCCTTAACAGCATGTCAAAGCCATTTCCAGAGAACCATCAGTAACTACGCCCTTGGATCGTATGTCCCTCGATGTATGCCTGATGGTAGCTACGCCCTCGTTCAGTGTGACCCAAGCCAYTACTGTTGGTGTGTGGACAAGAAAGGAAGTGAAGTACTGGGTACAAGGACAAAAGGATGGCCTTCTTGTGGGGCAAAGGGTACGTTTTTAATTGATATTGATTTGTGGGGAAGTTTCGATGTAAATGTCCAAGACAAGCGAAGGAAAAGCATAGAAACGGGATTATCTTCTTGCCTTTTATTTGATAAAATATTATTTCTGTAAATTCAGAAGCTGAACCGATATCAGAATGYCACAAAGAGTTCAAGACTAAACACGTGTCTCTTGATTCGTGCCCACCGGTTTGCAAGCCGGATGGACACTTCTACCCTATGCAGTGTCAAGCAGGAGCGTGCTTCTGTGTAACCAAGAAAGGAAAAGAAATTAAGGGGACGGCGAAGCAATTGCCACGACTGCCAACATGTATGGAACAAGGTGAGAAGTTTAAAATAAATATGGGCTCGGTGTTTGTGTATGTTGAAATTCTGATAACAAACAAGTTCCCTTTTGTTACCTACTTTAGATTAGCCTCTTTCTTTCTTGCTTATTCCTCCTAACTCGTCTTTCTTTCCAAGAAAAAAAAAATCTGACGATAAAATGTGGTTCTATTTCTAAAGAAAGTTGCCTGAAAGATTGGAGAAATTATGATTCAAACTGTTATTGCAATTCCTGGCATGCATATTAACCATGTCCTTTGTGTAGGTCAAATGCTATCTCCATGTCAACGTCAGCGTGCAATGGCTGTTCAGCGGCACGTGGTAAGCCGATACATACCGAGCTGTAATCCCGATGGTACGTTCGCTAAGGTTCAATGTGATCGTGGTTGGTCTTGCTGGTGTGCTGACCAGGATGGCAATGAATTACCAGGAACTCGAAGAGCTGGTTGGCCAGACTGTGGCGCTCAAAGTAAGGGATAAACAGTAGCCTTGGATTTCTGTCTTTACTCATAACTTATTCTTGAATGATTCTGATTCTGATTCTGATTCTGATTATTTTAATGATTATGATTATGTGGTTCTAACAGTCAGCAAGCTTGGACTATGTCGACGTCTGTTCCTGCAGTCTTTAAAGCATCTCGTCCCAGGCCGTTTCAGACCTCGATGTAAAGCTGATGGTAGTTTTGATCCTGTTCAATGTTATGGCTCGGTTTGCATGTGTGTTGACAAGTATGGTGTAGAAATCCCCGGTACCACAAAACCACGAATCATGCAACCAGACTGTTCACCTTATGGTAAGGCTACTAATGTCAACTCTCGGACACCCCGATATTACCTAGATACCCCGCTATCACAGACACCGCATTTACCGACATTACATACACCGCAATCTTACGGAAACACCGATATTACGTACTGACCAGGGGCGGATCAAGGATTTTCCTCAGGGATGGGTACGGGGCACTCAGTTGGTGTTGCACCCCACAAAAAATCATTACCATGAAGATGCAAAATAAGGAAAGTATTGAAGGATACAGACCTCAGGAGGGGATATGCATCCCCCTGCACCCACCAGCTGGATCCGCCCCTGCTGCCCATTCTTACGGAAACATCGATATTACGGACAGACACYTCTTACGGACACTGCGATATTACGGAAACACCATTCTTACGCAAACCCCGATGTTACAGAACCCCTATATAACGTACACCCGGATGGAACCGGATGGACGCCTCTGATGGACGCCTCGTTATAAGACCCTTGAACTTTAGGATTAAGTTACTGGCTCGGTAATAAGAGCATATTGAGTTTTCATGGTCCGAGCTCACCGATTGGGAGTAAAACCCGCTATGTTGCTTAAACTCAGTCTAACTGTACATACATTCTAACAATCAGGTTGGACATTAAYGCCTTGCCAGCGACATTTCCAACACGCGGTACGATTCGGTTCTAAGAACTACTTTGTACCAACGTGTAATCTCAGAGGATCCTATGAACCAGTTCAGTGCTACAGAAACATTTGCTTTTGTGTTGATGAAAACGGTCTTGAAATCAAAGGAACAAGGACTACATTACCTGCCAARCCTACTTGCTCTAAACAGGGTAAGATTGACCTTTAAGAAAAATCATGGGCATGTTTAGGGGGGTTGTTTTAATTGGAATCATTCCTTAATTAATAAATTAATGAGTTAGATTTCAAACACTAAAACCATGAAAAMCTTTGGTGATTAAATAGAACTAGACTTGATTTATTGAACTATGMAAATTATTCTGTTTTCGTTCTATCGTCCAAGCCTCACTATGTTGCACTATTTTAGTCTCCAGGGAGAATTCCTCACCATGTCTTAAAGAACTTGATAAAGCTTCCAAGAGTACAGACATCAACACATTCATACCKCGTTGTCAAGACGATGGGTCGTACCACAATATWCAGTGYCGAGGGTTAGCTTGCTACTGTACTGATAACGAAGGCAATACTGTCAAGAGAACTAAAACTCCAAGACCATTA